TATCCCAGATCCTTGGGAAGGACTCGATAGGTGGATAAAAATGCCAAATCCAGTCTAAACAACTGGTTGACTGCGACCAACAATAATAATAAATCCCCAAACAGAATCAGTTCAGGAAAATATTAAATAAATATTTAAATAGAATCAATTAAGCAAAATATTGAAAAAAAGAATGAATTAAAATAACTAGTTATGATGGCATCTAAAACATTCTATTACAAATCTAGTTTGCTCTCAGAGAAAATTGGATTCAGAAAAAGAACTGAAAGCAGAAACATATACATATTCAGGTTTTATATGAAATAGTCATGACTTCCTTCCATTATTTTTCCTATACTAGTTATACTACTTTTACATTTAAGTAATATTTGCTGTTAGATAATAATCTAATTAAATACATTGATGTAATCTTTAAAAAAAAACCCAAAATAGGGAAATAAGTAATAAACATGTTCTATAAACAATTATCATGGATGCCATTTAGGTCAGAATGTTTTTATGGTAAATATGTGGGATTATAAAATGGGTGCCATGTTACATTTTACATTTAAGTAATATTTGCTGTTAGATAATAATCTAATTAAATACATTCATGAAATCTTTAAAAAAAAACCCAAAACAGGGAAATAAGTAATAAACATGTTCAAAATCTGTGGAAGAAATACACATTTCGTATGATCATTGGCTTTATCAGAAATTAACAGGAGCCATTAATAAATCAAGTCATTCTAAGGAATTATCTGTTTCCTATAATGCCAGTTAAAGCACACCTTGTAAAAGCTTTTGTAAATGGGATGTTTAGCTATATGTGCCTTTAGATAGTATACATATTTCTTTATCTTTCATTGGTTTATTTTTTAACACTTTGTTTTATTTTCTCTGTATATTTTTAAAGTCATATGTGTAGAAAAGAATGGGAAAAGAATGAAGATAAATGATAAATATTTATCAGAAGCGAGCAATCTGCAGCCATAAAGCATTCAACGCACACTCTTCTTTCACTATGATACAGTAGTTGCTTTAGAATATCTACCTCTATGCCATTTGTCAGCAAGCCATTGCCTAGAAGAATGGAGGAAAAAGGATGAATACTTGGAAGAAGCCTTTGGACCCAACAGAGATTATGCTAACATAAATTAACACAGAACTCTAAGCTACTCATGATGCCATTGCCACTCAGATAGGCAACCTTGTGATTACAAAGACCGCACTTTTGGGCCTTATGGCTGCTGTATGTCTGAGCCCATCGTTTCCCTTGTTAAATCATTCTTGCTTCTGTTCTTCCATCTGGCTCTGAGATTGCAGGGATGTTTTTTGTATGGCTTAGTTTCTGTCTGTAGCTCAGTTATGGAAATAAGAACTAGACTGGGGACTGTTGGGCTTCATGTACATCATTTTTTCCTCTAGATGTCGGTAACACCTACTGGAATTAGTTTTTACTGGATTTTTTAAAAAAATGATTGCACCCCAAATATTTATAATATAATTTGTGGGGGCCAAGGGGATTTGTGCATGCTGTCCCAGAATGTTCATTGGTGCATATTAAAGCATGCTGGTATAAGGAAAAATTTGGTGCATCTAATCCTTAAGAGTGTAAGATACATTTCCCTAGAGAACATGAGGATGGAAGGAATTGTATTATTTAGATGTAGAGGGCTCCGTGCAGTGTGCTCTGAAATTTGGGCTCTGTGCACATCAATATCATGTTCAGTGTTTGTGGTGATTAAAACTGGGGAAGATAAGATACAGGTTTGCATGGAATATGAGGGGGGACCCAAAAAAGACTGGAATTATCTTCTGGAGGGCAGGGCCCTTGTAGTACAGGCTTCCCCCGCTAGGTGAGTGTTCTAGGAACCCACCTGCATCAGTGTACTAGCTGGGTTGTTGTGAGAGGCTGCGTTTGGCTTCAGTGAGGTTTTTTTAAGAGACTCTTTCAACGCGTTTGCCTATTTTGTGATGGGTGATTCGTGCCTCGCTTGCTCACGCCTGAACAAAGAGACAATCGCTTGACTGCGTGCCGTGCTTTGAAGGAACAGTTGGAAGTTGACCCTGATTGTTTTTTCGAAAGTCATAACTGGAGATGAATCTTGGTGCTACACCTACGACCCTGAAACGAAACAATGAAAAACTGCCACATCCCCACGACTCAAAAAAGCACAAGTGAAGTCGAATATGAAAACAATGTTCATCTGTTTTTTTGATGTAAGAGGGATTGTGCACTTGGAATTTGTTCTTCCAGGTGAAACAGTCAACCAAAGTTTTTATCTGGAAGTTTTGAGAAGGTTGTGTCATGATTTGTGGAAGAAACATCTCGAGTTGTGGCAAACAGGTGACTTGTTCTTCCACCATGACAACACACCTGCATACACCTTGCTGAGTGTTCAGCAGTTTTTGCCCAAAAATGGCATGGCCCTTGTGCTCCACCCTCCCTATTCACCCGATCGCACCCCCTGCAACTTTTTCTTGTTTTCCCGGATGAAAAAAGTCCTCAAAGGGAAATGTTTTGCCGATGTGGAGGAGGTGCAACAAAAAACGGCAAAAGCACTAAAAGGCATCAAAATCAACAAGTTCAAAACCTGTTTTGAGCAGTGGAAAAAAGGTCTTGATAGGTGTATTGCATCAAACGGAGAGTACTTTGAAGGGGACTGAAGTTTGAACATGTAAAAATAAATACACAATTTTTTATAAATAAATTCCAGTTTTTTGGGGGTCCCCCTTTGTATAAACCTAAATACAGCCTTTTCCTTAACTAGTATAGCTTTAATAAAATAAATTTGCTTGGATTTGGCTGTTACACACAGATACCACTCGGAATGCATAAAGCCAGCAAACTTATGGAGTTCACACACCTACTTTCTGAAACTGAAGTCTTTGGCCAAAAGTTACCAATAACAGGCACCAGCAGGAGTCATTGCATAAGTATTTCCTACATTTGGCCTTTTTAAATACATCAGCAAAGAAGTTGAGATATGATATTGATGGACAAGAGGTTCCTGCCTCTCTAGTACAATTGAATTTTCAAGTTTATTCTTCTTGCTGCTGATGCTTCAGGGGGCTGTATTGCATTTCATTCTTGGAAACAAAAATACCTCAGAGTCCTTTCTACAGGAAAAGAGTAGCTGTTTTAAAGAAAATTACAGGATATTAGCTGAGTTCTGCCCAAGCTATAGAGTGTTACATGAGCAAATAGTCAAAGCCCCCAGCCCAGGAAACCTATTTCCAGTCTCTGTGATAAGTAGTAGGTGTCTTTCATGAATGTGCCAATTGTAGGTCTTGCTCTTAAATCTGTACTGCATTGTTCTTAAATATATTGAACCAGACTTGAACAAAACTTACAGACTTGAGGAAAGATGCATTTTATAACAATATGAGATATGAATTAATATAACTCTAATATGACTATCAATTGAATCCTGGATCAAATTAATTTAGAAATGCATATATCCATAAACTTATGGTAGAATCAATTGCTACATAAGGCGGAGAGAGAATTAGATTAGATTCCTTAGGCAAGGCCACTTAGCTGCTTTTTGAATCATTTGTCTACTCTGAAAAACAAGGGAAATAATTTTATCTGTGCTAAGCTCAAACATTACTATTTCCGTTTTTGATCTCTTTTAATGATGGGGGTTTACTCCCACTCCTCCCCCCCCCCTCAAATCTTTGCCAGAGAATTGATTGCCACTGAGTTTTGTTCTGTTAAACATTATGGAACAAAAAACAGTAAAAAACTCTATGATTGTTCTATAAAACAATTTGCTTCTTGATAAACTGTTAGGTATTTTGAAGAGAAATAGAGCATACAGCAGTTAAAATTCTATAAGACATTCAGAATGCCTACACAATATATACAGAAAGAGGAAAGGATTTTTTTTTTCCTTTTCTAAATGATCCTTCCACTGGATCATTTAGAATGTACTGAATTGGTTTTTCATTTCCTTAATATCCTAGGGGAAGCATGAACTATGTTAACCAATGTATCCCAACACAGAAATTTCCCTTTCAGCACTGCCATAAATCCAAAAAAGTGCACAGATCATTCCCTTTTGGATGCAAAGATGAAAATGTGTATATATGCATAGCAATATATATCTAATAATGAAACACTGCAGATTCCCTTTGCTAAAACATAACCTTATGTTGCTTTAGCATATATCTTTTTAAAATCTAATTTTTATTAAAGAAATGTTTTACAAAGTTAAAAGATAAACACAAAAATATAGAAGAAAAGTACAAAAGATAAAAGCGTTGGAAACAATAGAAATTGAAGGAAAAAAAGGGAAAAAAAGGTACTTAAGGAAGCGACTTCCAATCTTCTTTACAGCAGTTATAGACCTACCTGATACCATTTGCCCCCTTCACAATTACATGATTTAGTTCCTGTCTCCCCATATACAACTAATTTTAATCAGTAAATCCAGAAATCACAAGTTTCCCAGTTTTTTATAAAAGTAGCTGTTGTTCCCTCCCTAATCAAACAAGTCAATTCAGCCATTTCTGTAAGTTCTACCACCTTCACGGTTCACTCTTCTGCTGTGGATATTTCTGTATTTTTCCATCATTGTGCATATAATAATCTTGCTGCCTTTACCATATATAGAACCAATCATCCATGAGTCACTTTAGCATATAATATCTTGAAGATCCTGATTTGGGTCCTCTTGATTAATTTTCTGAAATTTAATGATAGCTAGGATGTTAAATGAAAGTTTTCAGTCTAACAGCTAGGAATATATGATTAAACTGTAAAACATGTATGTTTCATAATGTTCTAGTTACTCAAAGTTAAGTATCCCATCAATCATGTGGATCTTTTGTTTCACAAGCTATGAAACTTTTATAAGCACAGGCTTTTCTCAGAATTAGAAACTCAGAAGTCTACCTTCTGTTTAACAATAATCTAAATGTATAAGATGTGTTTCATGATTTTTTACACAGTAGCCTACACAAACATAATGGGAATTATAACAAATATAAGTCAAGTTACTCAGAGTTACATGAAATGAATACAAAGAGCCTGTAAAGCCAACTGTGAACACCTGCTTTGAATCTTAATTTTGTTTTAATGAGCTAATATTAAGACTTTGCTAGCAGCAAGAAAAATGTGCATGAAAAATAAAGAAATCAATTTTGGATCAATAGTGTCACAAATGTTTTATATTACAGCTGTCTGCCTTCAGGAGAGGATTAGCTGATCAAATTTTTATCAGGGCTTGGCTGAAAGCGTCTCACTAAAAAAAATCACTGTGAAACATGTTTATAGTTTCTAATACAATATGATCAATAAATACAGTATAAAAATGTTACATTATCTTTGCTGACTAAAAACTGATCAGCAATGGTTTGCAAAGTCATATGAGTTTTCATTAACTGATAGCAACATGTTACTGTCAAATATTTGAAAAGCTTTTATATTCAACTGAAAACAGGCAAGAAAACATTAATGGGGAAATCTCACAATGAAAATTCAATGAAATATCTACTGAGATTATTAAAAGTAATGAAAAGAAAATAATATTTCATGTTTGCTAACATAAGATTAGTTGTAAAAACAATTACCAACTTATAATTATTAGAGATTGTATTAAATCTCTAATATAAAAGCACAATACATACATACATCTTATATTATTATAAATTGATAATCATCGACTGATTTTATTTTACAGTCACATAAATTTTTACAAACTGTACATGGACAAAAATCTTGTAAAGTTATATTTGTGGAGGTGACTGCAAAAATCATGCAGTTTTTATTAACTATATTACTAATTGTTTGCCAACAAAACAAATAGCGTTTTTGTTGATTATATGGTTTCCAATCAAACACATAAATTTCACATAATAAAAGAGAAATGAGAGAGAAAAAGATGAGTAAAATAAAAAGTATATATTTTTATTTATTTACATTAAGATTAAAAAACCAAAGAAGAAAAAAGTACAAAGAAATAAAAGAAATAAAAATAGAATGAGATGGAAAGGAAAAGAAAAAGAACTTACAAAGAAATGAAAATGTTATTTATTTTTTTTTAAAGTCCAGTTTTTAAATACAGCATTAAACCTTTGTGACACAAAGTAATATTCATCAGTTTTTCAGATCCGGAACATTCTAAATGTGAAGAGTACTTTTATCTAACTCCATTCTGATAATTTAAAAAAAAAAATCTAGCCTTTTTTGTCTAGTGAGTAACTTTGTCTACTGAAGGTAATAATTTAAGAACAGTAAATGCTACTGAGTATATCTCAAGCTGAGCAAAAGGAGTTTTTACTATTCAGACATACTATTTTAAATAGATAACATTCATCTACAGAATCGCTTTAAAACAAATGGCTATTCTGTACATAGCTCAGATTTTAACTGCATATAGTTAATTCACCCTTAATAGCTGAAGGATAATGATAAAAAAATAGTCCATTTACTCAGATATGTTAGACTGCTTGAACAAGCTGAACTTACTTGCAGTATTAAGGAAACACAACTGATAGCACTGTCAAGGAAGGTAACATTTAACATTGTAAAGACAATACAGTATTGGTCTATAATGAAATAATATGTATTACAGAGCATCTTAACAATATTTTCACATACACGCAGCTAAATCTTTCTCACAAATGTTGAATAGTTTGCTTGCTGTGAAATATCACATGTCATCAGAAATAAAGGTATCCTTCAATATTGCACAGAAATGGTTTATTTAGAATTATGCTTTTATACCAGCCATTAGCTCAACCACTAAGCCAACTATTTGATCAACTTGACAAGGGAGAAAGTAAAGTTTTATTTTGTCTCTCTTACAGCTTTTTTTCCCCTGAACTATTTTATATTTCCGGAAAAATCCAGCGATTAGTACTTTTTGCAAATTAACAGTATGGCAAATTTTGGGCACATATTTGAGAACTAAAGATGCTAAATAGATGGTGGTCATAGACGGTAAGAATGAAGACTGAGAAGACAATACATTTTAACAAACTATGAATGAACTGCTTGCTAAGGAGAAACTTTCATTCATTTGGACCACATACAAACAAATAGCATGGTAGGCTGGCAATATGAAAATATTGTACACGCATAAAAGGCTTCTGAGATTAATGTGAAAAATACCTGCATGTCTTCATCATTTACCCCTCCCCAAAGTAAACCCTTTTTCAATTACCTAGCAACATCTGTTGCTACTGTTTCCAATTCTAAACAGGCAGTCTTCACATTCAAGCATGTAACTCAGCCAAGTGGAAAAAAATGTATGCTTTTTCTTCTGTAAAGAATTAGATGCAGATAGATGTTATTACTCTCTCTCTCTCTCTCTCTCTCTCTCTCTCTTCCTTTTTGCTATTAAGAAATGACAAAATTGCCCCCTACCTTTCTTCTGAGGGTAGGCTGGTGACTGCACTTGAGAAAAAGTAGGCTTTTCTTCAGTGAAATATTCAGGTTGGCTGTCCTGATGCAGGGCCATGTCCATGTCAGAGTACTCGCTCTTAAAAACGTTTCCAGGGTAACTACAGGTATAAGGCTGATTCACCGCCCAGGCCTGTTCCATATATATGTTGTTATTGTGCAGGACCTGAGCATCGCAACTGCTGTAACTCTGACTATCTTCGATATAAGGGCAATAATCCGAAGGCTGCATGTAGTAGTTGCTGTTGGCAGCTGACTGAGCTTCATACATTTCTTGCACGCAATAGTTCATTTTCTTATCCCCTTTCAGCCTATGCTTTACATATACATGTACACATTCACATGCATATACGCCCTGATGTGCATACGCATGGAACAAGAAAGTAGGGAACAGATGCACAGCACTGAGAAAGGGAACAGTAAAACTGTATGCTTAACTTCAGAGCAGCACATGATGGGCTAATACCCTTTTTATGAGGGATAGATAGAGAGCTGTCCTACTAGTCCCACATGTTGGAAAGCAGATTTGTGACAGTCAGATGTCTTAATCTGTTACTGTATGCTAATTCCTAGAGAAGATACTGCTTACTCTTGGCCTTAAGACAAAGAAGCAATGTCCAGACCACCCCACTCTTACACTATTTGGGGAGTGAATGATTATTTTATAAAGCCAGTTCCATTCCTTTTCACTAAGACTACAAAATTATTGCTAAGGTAAGAGTTTAACTATGCCTCCAGCACTACCAATTTAAGTGTGAGCATCAGAAAGAACACTTAGGCAATCCTAAGGATGATATGCTCAAAATCCCAAAATCAATAATCCTGCTTTTTAGCATTAATTGAAAAATCCTAAAGGGCAACACTGATGACTCCAGCAGTAAGTCTGTTTTCTACAAAACTTTAGTGTCTAAATCTGTCATCTACTTTATTGATTTTGATTGGCAGAATTATCCGAATGGGCCTTTCCTGCCTTACCCATACTTAGGTCAAACTCCCCGCTGCTTGGTAATTTAACACATTTGCAAGAAAGCAGATTTCTCAGACCTCACTGACTTTAATAGATATGTTTATTGAATTCAACAGGTGGGAAATTACAAAACAGGCCTCCTTAATCAGCAAGCAGAATACTGCTTACAAATTAAAGTTAAGCTTAATTGGTTTTCCAGTTGTATTTCATTAAACTGCTTTCTTCCCAGTGTGAGCTGTTTCTGCATCTGTTTCATTCACATGTGCCTTCTATTAGGCAAGGCAGTTAATAATTAGATAAACACTTCTCAACTCTAAAAATAAGAATGTTTTACATTTATTTTAGATCACATACATTTTCATATAACAAGCATTCAAAATAATGCTTAAGTCTGCAGAAGTAGACCCATTCACTTAGCAGTAAATCCATTTGAACAGTAAGGTTTATTTCTTGGTATATGCGCTCTGTGTTGCATTCTAAGTAAGTTTAGGTAACATCATTACCAGCCAATAATAAATGTTAATTTTCATTGCATTTTTTCTGTTTCAGTGTGTTAAATATTTCTAACTAATTTGGAAACTAACCCAGTTAAAAGTCATTAAAGAAAAGAATGAGTGCGTATTGATCAGTAACACTGAGATAGGATTGCTCTGCACATTTTAAAAGAACTATTGTTTTTATAAAGAAATTTCTCATTCTTTCTTCTCCCCAATAACTGGCATTATTCAGCAAGATCTATTTCGCAAGATATAAAAAAACCTAAAACCATAAGATGCTAAAGTTGAATCAGCAGCATGCATTCTATGATTTTGGTTTGGTATTTGTGTGTAATATAGATAAGGACAGTTTTTCAGAGCACTTCACTTGGCAAGCAAAGTTTAATTAATTCGAACTGGAAAGTTAAACGTACTTCCTAATAATGTAACTTTATATATCCTCATGATATCTCAGGGACCTAACAGGGTTTTATTTCAGCTGGATTGTATGCCACACTTACAATAATTAGAAGTCAGAAAGTTATGAATTAAACATATTTTCTATAAAACAAGGAAAATATTTCTAAACTTGCTATTCATTTCATACTTATTTCACTTTCTTCGGAAAACAATCGCTACACAAGTAATTTTCCATAATTTAGACAAAAAATGAGACTGCTTGATACTGCCTGAAAGAAAATCAATTTTGTTTAGAAATAAAACATTTTGAGAGAGAGAGAGAGAGAACAGGGAACTTAAATAATCTATATTATTTTATATGAGCATTTATAGCTCCATTACACTGTCCATTTTATACTAACTATATATACACTGTCCATATATAATAACCATGAATAGTAAAATAAAATATGGAATATTTAATTCTTGAAATATCAAATTATGTAATGTGCTAGAAATTAATTAGTGGCACAGAAAAAATTCCCTATCATTACTGAGGGAAACAATTAAGACTTATATGGAAGAGTTGAATTTAGTAGATCCCTGGCATCTGATGTATCCAACTAAAAGAGAATATACATTTTATTCAAATGTGCATTAGAATTATTTTAGGCTAGAATATTTTTTAAGATCATTACTTTATATCATCAAATTCAAGAATGTATCATTGATGTTTGTTATGTATCTGATCATAGTGCAACCACCTTGAAATGTGTGTTTCAGAAACCGGTTATGGTATTGAGAAATTGGTATCTCAATATTTCCCTACTGAATGATAAAGAATTTGTACAACAAATGTGGTAGAGACCTTACAATATTTTGATTTAAATTCAAAAACATAAAGGGCCCAATTTTTTGAATGGGAACCATATAAAGCATACATTTGAGGTAGAATTATTACTTATGCATCACACAAAAATAAGATTAAAAATAAAAGTGAAAATAATTTGAAAGATGAAACATTTATGGGCACAGATGTTAGATGCCCATTTTACAGAGAAATACAGAAAAAGAAATATGAATTAACTATTTTAATATCACAGCAGACAGAATTTATGCTAATATATTTATGACAGAGATACTGGGAGAATGGTGAAAGACCCGGTAAGATCTTTGCTAATTGTTTAAAGCAAAAAAAAAAAAAAAAAGATAGGGCAGTGATTCCAATCATTAGAGGTAAAAGAGATGAAATGCATAAAACTTCAATGAATATTGTCAATTTTTAAAATTTTATTCAGAATTATATAGTAAACCAGAGGATGTATTGAATGAAGATATAGAGGCTTTTTAAAAATAAAATTAACCTACCACATTTAGATGATACACAGAAGCAACTCTTATTTGCTCCATTATCTGAGCTAGAGCTTAAACAAACAATTTTAAAAGTGGTACATGGTAAAACACCAAGATTAGATGGATTCCCTATCGAGTGGTATGAAACATTTATAGATCTACTGGTGCCAAAACTTTGGTAGACATATGAAAAGATATTTGTAAAGGGCATTTTATCACTGGCATTTAGTCAGGTTTATATTATAGTTATACCAAAAGCAGGTAAAGATCATACTCAGTGTGGTAATTATCGTCCAATCTCATTGATTAATGTCAACACAAAGATTTTAACAGCAGTGTTAACAAACAGATTACAGCAAGTGATATTGTTTGTTATTAAGAATGATCAAGCGGGGTTTATAAAAACTAGGCAAGCAGCAGATAACGTTAGGTTAGTTGTAGATTTAATAGACTTGAATACAAATAAAGATCAATTTGTAATTTTATCATTAGATGCTGAAAAAGCCTTTGACAAAATACATAAACAGTGTATGTTTGTCATATTAAACAGATCTGGATTTCCTTTGGAATTTATAAAATGGATTAAGATATTATATGAGACGCCCACATCTAAAGTAAAGGTTAATGTTAGGTTTTCTCCTACTTTTCCACTATTTAGAGGGACTAGACAAGAATGTCCACTTTCATCCTTGCTTTTTAACATTTGCATTGAATCCTTGGCTTGTGCTATTAGACAACACAGGGAGATCTACGGAGCAGTACACAACTCAGTTGAACACAAATTGGTTTTATTTGCAGACATTATTTTGTTTATTTGTAAACCTCACACTGCTATTCCAGTGTTGATGCAAAGGATAGATGCTTTAGTAAAATAGCAGGATACTCTATTAACTGGACCAAATCGGAATTGATGCCAATACGTGAAAACTTGGTTACTCATTCATTTAAGGAATATCAATTGTGTATTTGTACCTAATCTATTAATATTTAGGTACTGTATACCAAAGGATATAACTCAGATAGCAACATGAAATATAAATAAAATATATAGAGAGGTTTCCTCAGATATCGATACATGGGAGTCATTAAACCTCATCCTTTGGGGAAAGGTGAATGCTCTCAGAATGAAGATTATTCACAGATTAATTGATATTCTGAGAGGAATTCCAGTTTTTATATCTGGAAAATATTTTCAGAAAATAAATTATTTGTTTAGAAAATTTCTATGGGGTTCTTCAATTCCAAGAATATCTTTACAGAAAATGTAATTATCAATTAATGAGGGAGGATTCGGCCTTCCGAATCTGGAGCTATATCACCATGCTTACCTATTGTCAAATATTAAATACTGAAGCTAACAAGTGGTGGTAATTTTCTGATTTGGGCAACTTTGGAATATACATATATAACACCTTTGGTTGGATGGACATATTAGAATTGAAATAATGACGCTGAAAGTTGCCGGCCAGAAATGGCTGACGCTTCGGTGGTTCGAGTCCAGCCTTCGCGTTAAACAGGGTGAGCTCCTCCCTGTTTCCTCCCCAGTTCCTGTCAACCCAACAGGTCAAAAACTCACGCAAGTAGATAAA